CCCCATTAAATTCAGACCCACCATCGATGTTCACTGTAAAAGATCTTCACTCACAAAATACTATTATGACCGAAGAAGTAGAAGAAGCTTGACTAGAAAACCCCACGACTTTTGCTGCCACTTTTGTATCATGCATCGTAATTGAGTAAATATTTTTAAGAATTGTATTAAAAATTTTGTGAATTTTTTAGGTACTCAAATACGTTTTTTCTAGTGTGAAGTAAAAAACAAAGAGAAAAAATATAGATCTGAAATGGGAGATAGAGAAGGGAAGGAAAATGAAAAAAAAAATAACCAAAAAAAGATAAAAGGAAGACGAAGAAGACACAGAGAAAGAGGTGAGAAAGAGGGTGAGAAAGAAAGAGGATAGGAACGAAAGTGGTAATGGGAAGAAAAGTCTGTGTATTGGATAGAATGAAAGAAAGATAATAAAGCTAAGAATAAATGTTATCTTGGAAAAATAAATGCATTGGAAATAAATAATGGCTACAAGTTGTAAATAAATTGGGCCGAAAAACTATTTCGGGTCCGTAATAAAAACATGGATTAATAAAATCTTTTAATGGCCATATATTGTCATTTTATCTACAATCTTTAGGGAAAGAAAAAGAAAAAAGAGTTCAGCCCAGTAACTTTTTACCGCACTACTAACTTATGTTACTGAAAATAAAACAACTTTTTAACAATTGTACGGAGGACAATTCACCTAACTTTTCGGGATTTACCTTTCCAATCAAATAGACAAATGTGGAAATCTACCTCCATTATTTTCCAAACAAAAACAAACTCAGTGGCAAAATGGTAAATAAACCTATTCCTCAAGCCTACTTTCCAAAACCAGAGTGGTAGTTGTAACCAAAACTCCCAAAAACTTTTCGGACAAAACAAATCCGAATTTTCTAATTTTCAAACCCTGATTTCTCTCTCTCTCTCTCTTAAAATCTTAGTTGCAAATTCAGTTTTGAATTTTTTCAGAGCAAATTATTCATTGCGATTAACGTGTTAAATCCACAAATTTCGAATTGAGTAATAGCTATGTCGCTGAGGCCGAATTCGAGAACGGAGGCTCGCCGGAGCCGGTACAAAGTCGCCGTGGACGCAGAGGAAGGTCGACGAAGAAGAGAAGATAACATGGTGGAGATCCGGAAGAATAAAAGAGAAGAGAGCTTGCTGAAGAAGCGTCGTGAAGGTTTACTGCAAGCTCAATTCTCCAGTACTGCAGCCGCCGTCTCTCAATTAGATAAGAAGGTAACAATTTCTCATAATCCGATCGGATTTAACTGTTAATTGTTAAATTTGAATTGGTTGCGATTACTAGTTACTTGGTGTTCATCGTTTCGAGCTTAATTGAGTTACTTTTAATTTTTTTGTTAATTATTTGTAGCATTCCGTTTTTAGCTTAATTTATTCATAACGGATTCAGTAGTTTATTTGAATTTCAAGTGCGATCAGTACCGAAGAAGTGTTATTACTTCGAGCTTACTAGGCTACGTGTAATGTCTTACTTACTTGTATTTTTAATTAATTTTGAATTGAAATTGCGATTAATAATTACTCTGGTATTCATCGTTTCGAGCTTAATTATGTACTTTTAATTTTTTTGTTAATATTTGTAGCATTCAGTTTTTAGCTTAATTTATTCATGTTGGATTCAATTGATTAGTTTGATTTCAAGTGCGATCAGTACCGACAAAGTGTTACCACTCCAAGCTTTACTCAGCTACTTGTATTTAAAAATTAGTAATTACTTGCTTCAATCCTTAGCTTCACATTTCGTATTATATTTATCAGTTGTTTATTTGAATTTCAATTTGCGATCAATATGATGAAGTGTTATTATTTCCAGCATACTCGGCTTGCTTAATTTAGTTCTTACCTTCGGGTATTCATATTGGATTTTCAATTGTTTATTTGAATTCAAGTGCGATCATTACTGACTCAGTATTCATGCCTTCGAGATAACGCAACGGCTTCTTATTTTTTGTTAATTAGTCTCAGCGATGGGATAATTGACTTATTTTAAATTATTAGGTATGATAAGTTGAGGAGTATAAATATATAGTCTTCTTTGTAGCTCCCTCTTCCAGAACAAATATCACTATTTGGAGAGTCAAACAATTACTCCTTCCGTCCCAATTTATGTGATGTAATTTGCTTGCTTTAAGAAACAAAGACCTGTGAAACTTGTGGTCTAAAACAAGCCATAAACATTTTTGTCATTAAGGATAAAATGGGAAGTTTAAAGTTTATTGTTTCTAAACATGAAAATTTGCCATTCTTTTTGGGACAAACTAAAACGGAAAGGACAGAAGGAGCATTTGATTTTACAAGTATATAAAGTACTTAAATTTATAGTAGTTTTTAAGTATGGATATTTATTCAAGAAAATGAAGAAACCGATGATCAAATTTACACTTAAAAGTCGATGAGCTGATCCTCAAATACTGTCATTCTTATTGGGATGGAGGTGTATTGTTTTAGCTAAAGCCAATGTCATGCAGCTCTGCTAACGAAAGTTATCTAATTTTGGTTTTATTGGTTAATAACCTTTCAGCTGGAGAATCTTCCTGATATGATTTCCGGGGTATGGTCAGATGACAGCAGCATGCAACTTGAATGTACAACACAGTTCCGGAAACTGCTTTCAATTGGTCAGCTGCTTTATATTATTTTTTGACTGTATTTCTATTTGTTCACGTTGACAAAGAATGTTTCTCCTCCTGGTATCTCTGTTGCTTAATTGGTATTGCCTTCGGTTATGGTTGTGTTGGCAGAACGCAATCCTCCTATAGAGGAAGTGATACAGTCTGGAGTAGTCCCTAGTTTTGTTGAATTTCTTGCTAGAGAGGACTATCCTCAACTGCAGGTTTGTACTGAATTTATTACTTTTTTTATCGTTTATCTTCATTTCTAGTGTTTATATCTTTTTTGGTGTCCTATGTTCTAGTTTGAGGCAGCATGGGCTCTTACAAATATTGCATCTGGTACATCAGAAAACACTAAAGTTGTGATCGATTATGGTTCTGTTCCAATTTTCGTCAGACTTCTAAGTTCACCAAGCGATGATGTTCGTGAACAGGTAAAAACTTTCAAATATAAGAGGGCTAGGGTTTCATGTTTCATGATATTATGTCAATGAAACACCAGCTTTGCCAATTTATTTCTTAGAAGTTCTTTTATGTTGATGTTTTTTCACTTTTATAGGCAGTTTGGGCTTTGGGAAATATTGCTGGTGACTCACCCAAGTATCGTGACCTTGTGCTTGGCCATGGAGCCTTAGCGCCATTGCTGGCACAATTCAATGAGCATGCAAAGCTATCTATGTTGAGAAATGCTACCTGGACGTTGTCAAACTTTTGTAGGGGCAAGCCTCAGCCGCAGTTCGAGCAGGTTGGACTCAAAATAGAAAAGAAGTTTGTTTTAAGATTTTCAGATTTTTATTATTGAAGGTTGTTCCTTTTGAAATTCATTGCTCAGACAAAAGCGGCACTCCCCACTCTTGCTCGACTTATCCACTCAAATGATGAAGAAGTCCTGACAGATGCATGCTGGGCTCTATCATATCTTTCTGATGGAACTAATGACAAAATCCAGGCTGTTATTGAAGCTGGAGTGTGTCCCCGCCTTGTTGAGCTGCTACTGTGAGTCATAGATCTTACTTTTTGGGGTTTGTTTCGGGCTTTCGTTGTGCCAAAATCATATCTTCTGATGCTATGCATTGTCTTCATCTTCGTTTTGTGTGCAGTCATTCTTCGCCATCTGTTCTCATTCCTGCCCTGCGCACTGTTGGTAATATTGTCACTGGAGACGATATCCAAACTCAGGTATTTATTATCCTCCCATGGGAAATACATATAAATTTCTCTGCTTTTGCCAATTCTTCATGTTTGAAATTTTTTAGTTTTTCCTCTTCTAGTTCTTAAGTGAGTGTCTGTGAAAACATGAATTCTCAATATCTAATCCATCATTATGTCAGATGTCTAGTTTTTTTCTTTTGGGTAAATTATTGCACAGTAGACAAAAGATATGATTGAGTCTGGCTTTGATCCATGATAATTCAATAATTCTGATAGTCAACTATGTTTCAATATCAAAGAGAAGATGATATTTAAGATTGGACTAGTCAATTGGCTGCATAACTTAGTTGTCATGCATTTTTGTGCCATGTTTAGGAGAGGTTGCTAATTCATTCATGTGCTACAGTTTTCACATTTGCCTACTTGGATAGGGGCTTTATGGTGTGTTTCTGTTATGATCATTGCTAGAATAAAGCCTCATCTGCTTCGCTGCCAACAGGAGTAGTATTGTACCACATCGTTCTGCTTTGAACCTTTTTCTCTCTCAGGAACTTCATTTGTTCACTCAAGTGATTTGTTGTAATTGAGCGTGTAGGAGGAGGAAATAGGGTAAAGATGAGAGTTTCTAAATTTTAAAACGAAAGGAGAGCGAAAATTGAGTAAACTTCTCCTGTGATCCTTTTATTCTCCTACCAAGGTGGGGAAGCTCTGAAAGGTATATTGTAAGGCAGAGGTATCTTTTATTTGCACATTGTGAAGGTTCACTGCCCTCTTTGGGTTCTGCGCCTGCTCACCTCTCATATTTGCTGCCTCTTCCATTTTCAAACGTGGTGGAAAGTGGAAAATTAAATAGACAAAAATTCAAATTTTTTTGGTTATTAAAGCAAAGGATGTCTTGCCTAATTTAAAAGTTTGATTCTTTCTCTGGGGGGACTGATGAACTCACTCTGAATTTTAGGTTATAATTGACCATCATGCTCTTCCCTGCCTTCTTAACTTGTTGACGCAAAATTACAAAAAAAGCATTAAAAAGGAAGCTTGCTGGACAATCTCGAACATTACAGCTGGTAGTCGAAATCAAATTCAGGTATGTTGTATTGGACATTTATGTGCTTCTTTTATCACTTTACAGATAAGTGAAAATAAGTGAGAGAAAGAGAACTTTTTCAATGTGATTCAGTAATGTATAATGATACCTAAAGGGGTTTAATTGAAATAGGCTGTGATTGAGGCTGGCATTATTGCCCCTCTTGTCCATCTGCTACAAAATGCTGAATTTGAGATAAAGAAAGAGGCTGCTTGGGCTATTTCAAATGCTACATCCGGTGGAAATCAAGATCAGATCAAGTATAGTTCCTTTTAACAAATTCAGTTTCATCCATAACCTTATATCTAGTTTCAAGCTCATATTTAAATTTATTTCTAGGTTCTTGGTGAGCCAAGGATGTATAAAACCATTGTGCGATCTTTTGGTTTGTCCTGACCCAAGAATAGTCACAGTCTGCTTGGAAGGGCTTGAGAATATTCTGAAGATTGGGGAAGCTGATAAGGATCTAGGTAACACAGAAGGCGTGAATGTTTATGCCCAATTGATTGACGAGGCTGAAGGTCTAGAGAAGATTGAAAACCTCCAGAGCCATGACAACACTGAAATCTATGAGAAGGCAGTGAAGATCCTCGAAACTTATTGGTTGGAAGAGGACGATGAGCAGCTTCCATCAGCTGATGCTCAACATTCTGGATTCAACTTTGGAGGGGGTGAACTACCTCTTCCATCAGGAGGATTCAACTTCAGTTGATGAGGTATATTAATGTTCCTCTTTTTATGTTTACTTCTTATCTGCTGACAACTGTTGCCCTTAAGAGTTTTGTTCTTTTGGCATCTGTATTATGGTGTAATGTAAATTATTTAGTATTAGAATGGACTGGACCTGGAAAGAGCAAAATGGATAAGAGGATTCGGTCAGCCAACCTACTGATTTGGGATGGAGCAGTAGTTGATTGATTGATCTGTATCATGGTGTAAAAATAGTAGCCTTGCCTTCGATTGAACCAACTAATGGAATTTATTGTAGTTAAAACTTGTTTTGATTGAACCAACTAATGGAATTTATTGTAGTTAAAACTTGTTTTAATATGTATCTTTGCTATGATTTTTTCCAGGTTCGGCCAGCAGGTCAGTCAGTGGTTTCAGATTGGACACAGCATCCTTTTTCATCCAGGTTAACTTATTCCTGAAGGGATGCTATCAAAACTGTTTGTTTCTCAGAGATGGCATGGAGAAACAGATGGAAAACGAGAAGGGACTGTTTGAACACCGTGTAGAGTCGTCTTGTTTTTTTNTACCTTTCCCACCTAGATATATTGGTGGTGGTGGAATTTGCATATTTATATAGTATATGTTGTTGTCCTTGTGAATGTACAAGTCATACCCGGGATTCCCATAACGTTAGAAAATATTTCCTTTATGGACTCATTCAGGAGATGCGGGGCAGTATATTGTTTTGTAATAAATATTACATATACGAGTTTGATGTTTTAGCAAACAGCAAAAACATACTTGTTTCCATTTGCTTTCTATCCTAGTATTTGCACTATCATTTGCTTTCTGGATTTGGTTGGATTGTCCCTGCACTTGAAACTGTTTTTTTGTCAATCTGCTGGAATGTTAAATTCCTTGTGTTTGATTGAATTATCCTTGCACTTGAAAACTGTTTTTTTTTTTTTGGTCAGTTTGCTGTAACGTTAAATTCCTTTTCTGTGTTTGGTGGAATTGTGCCTGCACTTGAAACTGGTTTTGCTCTTGTTAATCTGCTGGAATGTCAAATTTGGGATCTAATTTAGTGCCTTCGTTTTTGTCCTTGGTCAAAGGAATTTATTGGCTTGGTATATCTCTGTCTCCTGTTTTGACATTGGTTTGCCAGACCTCTAGCATATAGTGACTTTATGCAGTATTTGCATAAAAATGTGAAATATAAGACACATGCCACGTGAAACAGAACTTACACAAATCAAAATCAAAAACGAATTTCCACACTCAAGGGACCACACCTCACACTCCAAAACCATATCACTGCCAAATTTTCCAGCTTCTACTCAGCAGTCACCACATGTTCTCTAAGTGCCCTCCAGCCAACCCAAACTGATTTCCCAGTATAGTAACTTAATTTGCCGACACAAACATTGTGGTAAGATGAACAAACATAGGTCTCTAGACGTAGACGCCTCAAGTCCGAATCTTAGAATTAAAAAAAAAAAGTTTGCACATATGAACCTTTGGCTTCACAATAAAACAGAAACAACAATATCATAAGTACATGAATATTAGAGAACTTGGTGTATATTTTGAAGAAATAACATATATATAAAAAAGGTTTTTCCATCCTTAAGTTCATTCTAGATTACATGTATACAACTAAAGAATGTGGCTCAGCAATTCCATAATATTTCTCACAGCCACTTTATTCTATCACCAACATTTGGAAAAGAAAATAGTAAAGATTACTGCTTTTTTCAGAAAAATGGCATGTCATCAATCAAGATCCTTTCTTTATGAAAGTAATTGGCACCCCAAATTATTACTCCACTACTCCTTGCTCCTCTTCTTTGTCTCTTAGCCCTTTCTTCTTGCTATCTGCACATTGTATAAACCTGAAATATAAACTTTAATTTCATAAAAGAAATTATACGACAGTTAATTAGTTCTGACTTTTTTAAGGGTCAAATTAAAGGAAAAAAAGAAAATGTAACAGCAAAAATGAGACAAGTGATAAAAGGGTGGTTCTTTAACTGAATGGATTTGGAGTTAGGTGGTGGAGGGCTGTGAAAATAAAAGGGAAAATATGGTACAATTGGATTTGGGGGTGGTGGGGTGGGGTATCCAGGATTATTGGTCGTTGGAGGATAGTTTCCTTCACCATTGCCGCCGCCACTGCCACTGTCACCGCCAT